ATCACCCCAAACAGAGAAAAACCTTGGAAGATTGAGGAGCAAATTTACCACAGGAGCAGTAAACGGGAGAGAACAAGAGCAGGTATAATTAACCAATTCTTCATTTTCTCCTTTCCAGCCTTGGAAGTATTTGGAACATGTTTGATGATCAATTCCTTTTTAAAGTGCCAGGGCTAAATACTTCTTTTTTTACACTCCCAGATATATTGTACCTGCGGTTGTGAGGACCATCCCGATGCAAAACATGGAGATTAATATTGATTTCTGATTTGCTTCAAACCTATTCCGTTAGGGGAACGCCGAGACGCGGACTGAGAATCAACGATTGGAGCAAATCGGTCTGTTGGAATTGAGTTAGGAAAAAGGATGTGCTTACATATTTTGATCAGTCGAAGAGATGTGGCTGATCAATCAATCGATCAACCTCAAATTTGTCTCGATAAACGAATCAAGCAAATAGACAGACCCGGACGAACAACAACGAAATTTTCGCCTTTCATCTATCAGCTTGAACAATTCAATTTATGCTTTCTATCCATGTTTTACAAATTTAGCTTCTGGCAACTTACGATAGACCGAGAGGAATTATTTTTACGACTACTGCTACTGCCAGTACTCCGCTCAAAATCCAGATAATCCAAATGGAACTGGTTTTAGGAATGGACAGACTTTTGCAAATAGTTCGGTGAAATTGACCTAGATGAATACAAATAGTGCGGGCTGCTACTGCTACAGCTAAGTGTGAACGGGAAAGAAATATCTGCTCAGTGTTTGTTTGGCAATGTGTCTGAGGTATGAAGAAAATGCCTACACGCAAGGTACACGCAACTATGGAAGTAACGAGGACACCGCTCACATTCCTCTGTCCTAAAATATGCCGAGCGTGCATGACAGTGCAGCATATTTTTCTTATTCGCGTTGGATGCGAGAGTAGGGAGGTGATATTCACAGCTTCAATGCTGACAGATGAAACATAACAAAAAATGAGCCCCAGTTATGCTCGCATAACACGAACAAATATGACAGGGCAAGTAGAACGGATTCGAATTTAAGGAAGTGTTTGGTCGAAGATCATTGATATTCGTCCCAAGATAAGTCCGGCTGCATATTTCTTAAGACTGAAAAAAATCGAACAAATTTACAACAAATTTGACTCTAATTAGGTCATCTCGGATCAATACTAATCTCGCGGACATTAATCAATAATATTGCATCGTACGGCAATATTCACTCCGTCCGTCCGTCAGTCTGATCCGTGGCCTATGACCAGTTGAACTTTGCTCACTGTGTACTTGATTGGTACAATCTTTTTCTTCCATTAATCGATGTTCTTTTGAGTTACATATAAGCATCGGAGTAAAATTTGCAAATTGACTTGTGATTTGTGACTTGTGTTCAAGGTCATTAAAATCCCGTGCTGCTGCAGCCGTGCCTTATCTCTCGTGTTTTGGGAAACCTGAGAGATCGATAGTCGATCGTGCGTCCTGTGTTTCACCTAGGTAGCATCCGCTCCTAGAACTATCATTCGTTCACGGACTTAGTGTTGGTTCGCTGCTCTCGTTTCGCGTGTGCAACTATAGTGTTACAGTGCTTCTGTTTTTTGCGCTTGTAGTGTTCTCCTGCAATATAGTGCTGTGCGACCTAAGAGTAGGCAACGGATTTAAGCGGCGCAAAATATAACACTGATTTCGCTCGCCCGGGGTTCAAATTTCGAAACAATTAAATTTCATAAATTATCTGAGTGCCCGGAAAAGAAACGGAAAAAATATCACATCCCGATCATCCCTCTACCCTATTTCATTTACTTAATTATTACAATTTGTGGGAAAACTTTGGCAATCGATTTCAAGATGAAGGCACGAACCAAGGGATGTGCACATGTATGCTGTTCAACCAAGCGAATAGCGGTCAGTCAACCAGTGAATATCGTTGCCCCCTGTTGGTGCGATTAACCGGAACTGACCTGACGGGACCGCAACTGATTTGTGGATATCCCGGTAGCCACGACAGAGCCAAGCGCGTTTGGTGCCTCACCACCATTGAGCATTGTTTTCCGGGAACACGTGTCCACATGCCGTAATGCAACGTCCGGACGAAACGTCCGGTAACAGTGAGAACATCGTAAGAGATCTGAAAGTGACGTGCAAAGCAGAACGGGACAAAGTGTGATAAATTTGTTTGCGTACGATTTGCTTTGAATGAAAGATATTATTTTATACGCTTTATGATGGATTCGAGTAACAGCTGTGTGATAAGACGAGGAAAGATATCTCGCATTTGTCGTAAATGTTGGTCAAGTTAGGTCAAGAAACGGCTTTACTTCGCCCTTTAGGGGACAAAAATTCAGCTAATACACAATCACTCTTCTGTAGTCAAAATGGCATGGTAAAAAAAGGATGATGATACGCTACACATACAAACAAACAAGGAACATTTAACAAAGATTCTGTTTAAGGGTCCCAATGACAAGATCGGCGTTAGTAAGAAACCGTGCCAAGTACGGTATCACAGAAAATTTGTGATGCGTGCTGCCATATGCTTATACTTGAAGCGAGTGCTAGATTTAGAGATACACTGACTAAGATGAGAGTACAAGTGGATGAGATGGGTCTGGTAGTATTCTGGTCGAAAGTTTCTGACAAG